TTATTTTCTGCTATGACATTACTCCCTATGTTTTGAATGTGTGACACATGTATCTGTACATATATGACACTGTCAGCAGATCCGCGGATGTTGGTTTTATGCTAAAGTCAAGTCAATCATCAACATAGACAATTGGTCTTATCTAAGCTGCTTCAATCCAAAGTGCTATAAGAAGGTATAGTGTTACCCCTTAAATTTTGCTTTGTTAATGTCAATATGTTGGTTAGAATCTGCTAAAAGACAGTTGGGGAAACAATGAAAAATATGAAACAATTCAGACCTATTGAGTTGCTTTTTTCCTGTCTTATACTCCTTTACAATAGTTGAAGAACTTTATTTGTTATTGAGAGAAATTAGCAATCAAAGTTGAAATAATGATCAGAAAATTACTACGATAACTATCACACACAAGAATGCCACATTAAACATGTTCACCATATTTTATCAATAAAGTGACTGATGATTCTTGCAATGACTCTAATTGTATTTTAATACCCCGTATTTACTAAAGTGACTGTGATGACCTGAATGCAAATCCTTGACTTCTTAAGTATGTTGATTTTATAGCCTGCCTGCTAAAACATGTGGATCCATATAGTTAAGAATTAAAAAAGTGCATAGATATCACTCATATTAGGAAAAAAATAAACAGGTGACCGGAAAGGAGGGGAATGAGTTGATTTGTAAATGCGGCTTGCGTTCTTCGGAAGGAATATGGTGTTATCTCTTGAAACTAAAGGTTGAGCATAAGCTTTGTAGCGCCGAAGTAGTATTTTGGGATCGAGAATGTAAGAGATTGTTGGGGAAGGATGCATGTGAATTCTCTGATCATCTTAACACGGTATTACATTCAGCTAACACCTCTACTGATTTAGAGCATTTATACATTTAGTTTGATGGTTTTAATTCTTCTTCAGGAAACATTTGGTCCTAAAAGTTGTCCTGAAGAGATAAAACAGCTGATTGGTAAGGAGTTTATATTTAAGATAGATCGTGAAGCTCCACCATCTGTTCATGGCAAAGTCTATTACTTAGGGGGGTCATCAGATAATATGGACAAAATAAGAGAGATCAAATCATCTTCTGATGAAAACTCAGAGTCAGAGGTAACCCTCTCAGAGATCGATATTAATTTATCTTATCTGTAGATCCTCTTACACAATTGAATAAACCTCTTAACCTAAAATCATAAACTGTGTGCAGGAAGAGGGGTACAATTCTGATTACGATCTGGATTTGCTGGATGATGATGCTCCAACTCCAGTTGAATCAAATATGGTATGTTTTAATATCCAAGTGAAAATTTCAGATCCCAATTGGTCTTTTATTTACTTGGAATACATTCAAGTCCTCTTAAGTCAGATCTAAAATACTAAATGAGAAGAAAGCGAGTAACTTACGCAAAGAGAAATCCCGGGAAATTCAAAAAAATGTGCTTACAGTATAGTTGACTTTACTTTAGGATAGCAATACATATCAGCTTCTCTTAACTATGAATAGGCAAAAAAAATTAATCTCCTTTGAATTAACATTATATGACCACAGCTTCGCACGGGATGAAAACAATATAAAAAAAAATGGGCATCCAAAGAAAACAACATATGAAACCTTTCTAAATTTTATAGAAAACAAACTGTTAAGAGATGTCTTATGTGCTGTGTTTGGTATGAAATTGGGACACTGCGTTTATTCATGCGAGGGACATTTAGGTTTATTTCATGGGGGTTATGGAAGTTGGTATATACTACGTACAATTTATTAACGCATTAAAAGAACTAAAATATAAATACAATGAATGATTTGTTTTGAAGATTGTTTATAAACAATTGAAAGAATAGAAACTTTGTGAACAATATGTTAAAAAGAGACTTGCCTTTGTTGTTTTTTCTTTAATGAAGAAACTGATGACATAGCCAGTTCATTCTAAGAATACTATCATACATTAAAGATTCAAGTATCCTGCACTTCAATTTATTCCAAGAATAAATTGAATTGATTTTGTTTTTATGTTACTGCAGACAGTTATCTCCGAAGAAATTGAGGACGTTAAGAGTACTCCACAATCATTGTCTAAGCGGCCGTCTGAAGACGAGATTGATTGTGTTGAAGTTGGTGCATCCACTCAAGGTTCAACTACTAAGAAGCTCAAAGCAGTCAAGATAGAGAAGCCATAAATTATTATTCACCTTTGTTTTTTTAGTTTCACTTTTGGATTATGCACTTTAATGTTCTGAATTCTTACTAATGTTTTCATTATTTTGTTTTAGATTTAGACGTTTTCATCAAATCATTTAGTTGAATGTTTGTCTTGCTATTCACAATAATAAATAGTTTGCTTTGGAAGTATTATGTGGCTATCGTTAGCATAATGTTATTTAAGTAAGGCTTTGGCCTTACTTATAACTAACATTTTGCTTTGGAAGTATTATATTGTTAAGCATATTGTTCTAGCTGGCAGATATCTCTTTGTTCTGAAAAATAGTTTCTCTTTTTTTTCAGCTACATGTTATTTTCTTAGAATCATAAAAAGAACTACAGATTATTTTTGAATAAATTCTCTTTTACTTTCAAATTTTAGAATTCGTACTTCTAAATGATTACATATTAGTAATAATAATAATGGTGTTCATCCTTATTTATTCACTACTCTTTAGGATATAATATGTTGATGATAATATTCAGCTCTTTTAAATCGGAATAGTCTGAAAGATATAATATGTTGATGTCTTGATGATAATGTTCAGATTTTTCAAAGATATAATGGTGTTCATCCTTATTTATTCACTACTCTTTAGGATATAATATTCAGCTCTTTTATAAAAAAATTGGAAATACAAGTAAAAAAACTAAAATTGATTGAAAGAGTAAGGATGTTTTTACTTGGACTGTAATTTGTCCCAGGCCAGATCAGACCAGACCAGACTTGGGTAGTTATAAAAATACAAAGAAACCAGACCAGACCAGTTCAGATCAGACCAGATCAGACCAGACCAGCAAATTACAATCCAAGTAAAAACATTCTAATACTACATAGTAATTAATGTTTAGTAAAAGAGTTGTAAATCAATTGTATACCTTATTTTACTGGCCTAGGAGTAGATGATATTATCTAATGAAAATACTTAAAAAGCAATAATTAGAATTAGAGTTTCAAGCATTTTGTACTTCTAAAAATGGGATGTACGTGTTTGTTATTCATAACAATACTCCTAAGCTAGAGAATACACAATATTATACTCCGTATATCATGAGTGCACCCATATTGACTTTGGATTTTACCTAGAGAATACAAATATTTTAAAAGAAAAGCACTGCATGCTAAGAAGACTTATCCCCCTGCATTCTATAACCAGAATTGAAGGAACTCCAAATGTTAAAGCCACATTATACTCGACACATATGCTCGACACGTACAATGTTCATGCACAGTCATTTAGGATGGCAAGGGATAGATTTAATGCTTCAAACTCCATGACATTGAAAATGAGACTTATTGGGAAAAGGAGTTCAGAGGGACGCACGTATAATACTCTAAGCGTATCTGAAGTAGCAGCTTTAATTGAGGGGGACTTTGACGTGAATAGAAAAGAGAGAGATGTTGTCCTTCAAACAAAATCTGGTGCATTTCAGTTTGTCACTGAATTGAACCCTTCCTTTTTAGGCTTACAATACCCACTACTATTTCCTTACGGCCAAGATGGCTTTAGAGAAGACGTTCTGTTGACACGTGCAATAGAGGACAACAATATCAACGGAGGAAGAAAATTTGTTACTATGAAAGATTTTTTTTCATACAGGTTGCAGGAACGCAAAGGTGAAACGCCATATCTATTGAGATGTCGAAGGTTGTTTCAGCAGTTTGTAGTTGATGGATATACAATGATCGAGTCATATCGATTTCAATACATAAGATTCCATCAGAAAGAGATTCGGAGTGAATTGTACAGCGGTTTAGCAGATGCTGTTGTTCGAGGGGAAACAAGTGCATCTAGGACGGGCCAGCTTATTGTTCTTCCTCCTACGTTCATTGGTAGTGCGCGTTACATGATGCAAAATTACCAAGACGCTATGGCTATATGCCGATGGGCAGGGTATCCACAACTTTTCATCACATTCACTTGCAATCCGAGATGGCCAGAAATTATTCACTTCGTTGAGAACAGAGGGCTCCATCCAGATGATCGCCCCGACATCCTTTGTAGGATCTTTAAAATCAAGTTGGATTTGCTCATTAAAGATCTAAAACAAAATAAGTTGTTTGGGGACGTCAAAGCAGGTACGTGAATGTCAAAACATTACATACCGACGTAATTTATTTACACAAGTTATATACCTTGGTTACCATCCATAAATGTTTTTTTTTAAAATATTTCTAAACGTGAGACTCTAAACTTCTTCCATTTAATGTATAGTTGTATATACAGTGGAATTTCAGAAGCGTGGTTTGCCGCATGCCCACATAGTTTTGTGGCTGTCTCAGAAGAAAGGAATTACGTGTGCCTCAGATATTGACAAAATCATATCTGCTGAGATTCCAGATGAGTGTTCAGACCCTGCTCATTACAATGCGGTCAAAGAGTTTATGATCCATGGACCTTGCGGCCATCTTAATAAGTCTTCGCCGTGTATGGATAAAGGTAAATGCACGAAGCATTTTCCAAAGAAGTTCAACGAACGCACTAAAATGGATAAAAGTGGATATCCTATCTACAGGCGGAGAAACAATGAAAGACGCATCGTGAAGAATGATTGTCATCTTGACAATAGATACGTAGTCCCACACAACCGTAATTTGTTGCTCAAGTATGGTGCACACATTAATGTTGAATGGTGCAACCAGTCACGAGCGGTGAAGTATCTATTCAAATACATCAATAAAGGTGATGATCGAATCACAATCGCATTCTCTGAGGCGGCAGATAGCTCTAAGCAGCATAAAATCGATGAGATCAGTATGTACTATGATTGTCGGTACATATCTGCTTGTGAGGCTGCTTGGAGGATTTTCGGATTCCACATACACTATAGGGATGTGCCAGTTGAGCATCTTAGTTTTCATCTGCCTGGCGAGCAAAATGTGTATTATAGTGCAGATAAATCTGTCCGAGACGTCCTATCGAATCATATGATTCACGAGACAAAATTTACTGCATGGATGAGAGCAAATCAAGTATACCCCGAGGCCAGAAAGTTGACATATGTGGACTTCCCTAGCAAATTTGTGTGGAAGAAAAACATTAAACAGTGGGTGGAAAGACAACGAGGTTTTGCGGTTGGACGTGTCTACTTCGTTCGCCCTGGAGCAGGTAAAAAATAATCATTATTCACCCATGGATATATTAATTTCGATTTAACACTGTTCTTAATAAAACTAAAATATTTTTTATGTTCAATGTTGTTTGGTTCAGTTTTAAAAAATTAAAGTTTATTAAACCTCTAAATATAGCAATTGAGATTTAATGATGAATTGTTCATGAATATAGCTATGATGAAGCTGAGATTTTTAGAATGTGCAGTGAGATTATCTTATATTTATCGTACCCATGTGATTTTGTTTTTGTGTTTACTTATATTGCGATTTGTGTCTACTTTTGTTCGCACTGGAGCAGGTGAAAAATACTACTTACGCACCCTATTAAACTATGTAAAGGGACCAAGAAGTTTTGAGGAGTTAAAAACAGTTGACGGCATATTATATCCCACATTTAGAGATGCTTGCTATGCTCGGGGATTGCTTTTAGATGACAATGATTACATTCATGCAATCACCGAGGCAGGTCTATGGTCAACCGCACCTTCATTGCGTGAAGTGTTTGTCACTCTACTTATTGCGGGCGCACTGTCAAAGGCGGACTTGGTATGGGAGAAATGCCGCCAGTATTTCTCAGAAGACATATTGTACAATATGAGAAGGACACTGAACGATCCAGGTATATGTGGGTTTTGATATAGTCAATAAAAAGTATCTCACTTGGAATTTGACTTTTTATGATTTAAATATGTAACTTTTAATGTAAATCACATACCTAATATGGCTAATATTTTTTGTAGAGCACGAAATGGATGATGGGGAGATAGAGAAATACTGTTTGGTGGAGATAGAGAAAATTCTCCAGCTACGAGGAAGATCATTACGTGACTTTGTTGGAATGCCATTGCCTCCTGACTCATACATGCCTTCGATGGAAGATGTTCTCATTAATGAGGAAATGAAATATGATAAATGTGCTTTGATTGAGGAGCATGAAAGTTTGAAGGCTGATATGAATGATGAGCAACATGCTATATATGAGGAAATCTTGAAATCTGTACACAGAAAAAGTGGCGGTGTATTTTTCGTGTATGGATATGGTGGTACTGGAAAAACATACTTGTGGCGGACTTTGTCTGCGGCGCTCAGGTCGAAGGGGCAAATAGTACTCAATGTGGCATGTAGCGGTATTGCATCACTGCTTCTACCAGGAGGAAGGACCGCACACTCCAGATTCGCCATTCCACTGGATGCAACAGAAGATTCTACATGCCACATAAAGCATGGAAGCCCATTGGCTAGGCTCCTCGAACGTACAAGGTTGATCATTTGGGATGAATCGCCGATGACACATAGGTACATGTTTGATGAATAATAAATGCACAAATTACATCATATTCAAAATGATTCAATCAGTTGTAAAATGATCTGCAGGTTTTGCTTTGAAGCACTTGATCGTAGCATGAGAGATGTCCTTCGCTACTCACATGATTGTAATTCTACCATGCCCTTTGGTGTGAAGACAGTCGTCTTTGGCGGGGACTTCAGGCAAATATTGCCTGTCATTCCAAAGGGCACAAGACAAGACATTGTGCAAGCGGCTTTGAATTCATCATTTTTGTGGTCATACTGCAGGGTCTTAAAGTTGACAAAGAATATGAGACTCGGGCGCGTGGGAGGAACATCTTACACATTAGAGATTCAAAACTTTGCCGAGTGGATATTGAAGATTGGAGATGGAGACTTAGGGGACTGTGATGATGGAGAATCAATGGTTGACATCCCTGAAGAATTTATTGCTCCTATGACGGATGATCCAATTGAAGCTATTGTTAAGATCACCTATCCCGATTTTGAAATGCACTGTAATGATGTTTCTTATTTGAATTCAAGGGCAATTCTTGCGCCAACAATTGATGAGCGCGACATGATCAATGATTACATGTTGGGATTGACTCCGGGTGAGGTAAAGACATACTTAAGCTCAGATTCAGCATCATCTTCTGACTCAGACAGTGCACTCCTTCAAGAGATCCATTCTCCCGAATTTCTCAATACCATTAAATGCTCTGGTGTGCCAAGCCATGAACTGAAGCTCAAAGTGGGTGCACCTGTGATGCTAATGAGGAATATTGATCATTCCTCCGGATTGTGTAATGGCACTCGCCTAATCATCACTAAACTTGGAACCCATATTCTCGAGGCTCAGATGATGTCAGGAACAAATGCAGTGAAAAGATTTCTTATTCCGAAGCTTAGCTTGACTCCATCTGACCTCAAGCTGCCGTTCACATTTCAGCGTAGACAGTTCCCTTTGATGCTTAGTTACGCGATGACAATTAATAAAAGTCAGGGCCAGTCTTTGAAGAGGGTTGGTGTTTTCTTACGTCGCCCGGTATTCACCCATGGACAACTTTACGCCGCGGTCTCAAGAGTGACGTCCCCGTCTGGGTTGAAATTTGTTATATGTGATGATGATGGAAAACCGGCCAAGAAGACTATAAATGTGGTTTACAAAGAAGTATATAACTATTTGTAATTTTTTTATATTTATTTACTTTTGTTACAAACAATATATACATTGATCTCTATTTGTCACAACATTTTCTTATGTTCTCAAATTTTTTATTGCTCACTCCTTGCATCCCGTGCGAAGCACGGGTAAAAATCTAGTTTCTCATGTAGTTAGAGTGAAAAATCTGATGAAAGTTTTGTCACTTAAGTACATACTGACATAGTTGGGCTTAAAGTGATGACTGTGCAAGATAAGGATTTTGCCTTTTAACTTCTTCACGTGCAATTTACAATTAATTAAAGCCTCCAATTTATGGATTTAAAATAATGGCAGGATTAAAATTTCTCCAGGAATTTTGAGTAGTAATCAAAGTTTTTCTCCCCACATTCTAGGCTTCTAACCAGTTTGTTAATATAATAATACAACAAATGGAATGAAATCTACTTGAGATAACTAAAGCAGCTGTGTTCATCGCTCGCTTAGCATTTTAACATTTAAAGGGATTTCCGTGTATGATGGGACTTTCTTTGCTGCTTGCCTCGAGGGTCGACTTAGAGATGATAGCATCAAATCCTTCGCTTCATTTTGAGAGGGATCTTTTTCAACATTTTCCAGGACAGGATTATAATCACTTTTAGGATGAACTGACAACTGAGTATCATCATCATCATCATCATCATCATCATCTATCTGAAACCATTCTTCTTCCTCTTTGATTTCTTCATGCTTAAGCCTACCAGATAGCTTTCTTACTGAAAGCCTGCAAAAATATCATTTGTGAAACCTCTGATTTCTTAAGGAATCAAGTTCGCATCATTTATTCATTTACTTATCTTAAATTGTAGAAAAACCTTTTTATATCGGTGTTGACACGTGGCTGAACTTGATGATTGGATGGTGCTGAACCTAAATCGAAAAAATGAAAAAGAAGTTACTCAAGCTAAATTGTACTGCTAAATTGTACTGCAGTGGCAATAGATAATTTTAAGAACAAAAGAAACACTGACTCTTTGACTGTCTTCTCCTTTTAGACTTTTGAAACCCACTATAATCTTTATCTGCATCTCCATTTAAGTCATCCACTATGTCCTCCTCCTCCATTCTAATAGGTTGCGCCTGGAGAGGGTGAATCAGAGAGGTAAAGATGCAAAAGAATACCAACACTGTTTTGGAAATTTTGAAAAGAAATATATAAATTTAGACTATACCTCAGGTATTGTATTTAGGAATATCTCTCTATGTGGGGTTACTTTCTTAGGCTGTTCAAGAAACAAAAGCAGTGACAAGTATGGAAGTTTTATTAAAAAAAGAATGAAATAAAACTATACCACACCAACCTCAGCTTCTAACTTCATAGCCTTGAGCATTCCATTTTTGCATCCAAGGTCGTGTTGTAATGTTTTCATCTAATATCAATTAAAATTTCAAATATATTATGTCAAGGAAAATAGGATTCCATGATTTTATATGTTTACTCAACGATTCAAGGCAACAATGCTTACCCGCTGTCTGCATAATTTTAGTTCCTGCAATACGAAAGTAAAACATCACATATAAGTCAGAATTTCGGATTCATAAGTATTTTGACTAATTTTAACACGGGTAAATCAGAACAAACTGCAAGCTTCTGTGTATTTGACTGTGCTAGTTGAAGGTTCTGGTGCTGCATTTTCTGCAGATAAGCCCTCAGTCTCTGTATTTCGTTTCCAGTCATTTCAATAAGTTTACTATTGGACAAGGATTACGGAAAACTTCATGATTAGAATAACTCAAACCACTGAGACTCTCTGAGACACATTAACAAATAACAACTCAATGACTTTTTCTATATTTCACAAAATAAAGCATGAGAGAAACATGCCAACAACTTCTATTATAAAGAATATTAGGATACGCTCTTTCTAGTAGAGCATTCGTCAATGCCTTATTTCCCTGCACACCAAAATATTAAAATAATTTTTACAACAGTAAAAGTTTACAACTTAAAAAACAAAAAGGTATTTACCCTTTCATATTTTTCAATGATCTGTTGCATCTCCATTGCAACACCTTTCTGATTTTCTTTATGTAGATTTATTTGTTGTCGCAAGTTACTAATTTCTGCAACATTTCGCGTAGCTGCACAGGCACAGCTGAGAATAGTTTTTACTGTTTCTGATACCTTGTGGTTTCCTTAAATGTAAAAAAGATGTGAATCATACCGACATAAAGGAGAACTCCCAAAACAGTTTTTATAGCTTCCTATTTTGGAACTACTAAAGGAATGCATTTAATAATCTTCATTTCGGAAACTCAACAATTTTCTGAGTTCAAACATAGGTAAAAAGTCATTTCTAAAATAATCAAAGGTATATAAAGTATAAACATACATAATGCTAGAACATTAATGCCTCAAATAAAAAGATAATCAACCGAGATGCCAGCTACAGGTAATTATTTTGGAGGGTGCTTTCCCAAAATATTACTATACAGATCATAACTTTTTAGGAATACGCTCATTCCAGTAGATGAAACAGCTCATTCAAAAGCAAGAAACGGTTAATGCTTTGCATTTATAAAATTCTTCATCTAATCTATCATTTATTTGTTTTTTTTTTACCCACGACCACTCCATGATGAATGCTCTACTGGAAAGAACGCATCCTAATATTCTTAGTAAAAAGAGTCAATACGCATAATATGTTTGTCATTATTTCTATTTCAAATTCTATAGGAGTATCATGAACTTCAGAACCTGCGAATTGTTCACTCATCCACTCAAATTCACGATTCTTGTACATAAATTAGTCAAAATTACACAAAGAATCACATGGAGTTCAACCGCAAAGTTGAACTCAAAGAAACTCGAACCAGAAACGAAGTAGCGACTTGAAAA